TGTGCAGGGTGATGGCCGCCCCCTGGCCTTATTTGGAGGGCAAGAGCGGTGCTCCGTCCAGCCGCCCCTGTTGCAGGGGGAGCTGTTGGGGGGAAGCTCCGGGCTGCTCTCCTCCGCAAGGAGCCATGGGGGGGTCCTCACCTATAGGTGGCCACTTCGAGACTGAGCGACATCTTCAGGTGCATCAGCTGCTGCCTGTCCTCCAGCACGTGGGAGATCTGCCCGCGCAGCGACTGCTTCTCCTCCTCCAGCGCCTCCATGGCCATCTGTTCGGGCAGAGACGGAGACGGCAGGGTCAGCGGCCCCCGGCCCCGGAGGGCTGCTCTCCAGGGGGAAGCGCCCCCCCGGGTTTCCCCCTGGCACACTGCAGGAGGCCTGGCGGATGGGCCAGCTGGGCTGGGGGCAGGACCGCGCAGGCAACTAACTGCAGGGGGATCGTCCCTTCCTGCCATGAGGGTGGGTGTGGCAGCAGACTGCTCCGTGCTCCACCGTGGCAGAAAGGACTCCTTTTGTTCTGCTTTACTCCCGCATCTGATCCCAGCACAGCCCTTCCCGAACTCTCCTCTGGGCAGCTCAGCCGAAGGATACGATTCACCGCTGATTTCGCTCAGATTTTGTCGAGCAAAGCGATTCAAGAGCCCAGGCCAGGCCAGGCCAGGCCAGGCAGCAAACTTTCTGCTTTGCGCCCCCTCCTTCCCATTCCATGCAGCCCCCGTCTGGTCACAAAACAAAGCTTGTCAATTATCTGGTGAGCCCTGAGTGGGGCAGGGCAGGGCAGGGCAGGGCAGGGCTGGGCGTCCCCCCTCCCCCCAGCTCTGCATGTTGGAGGGCCCGGAGTGGCTGACTGCTGCACATCAGCGTTGGAAGGATAAGCGCAGAAAAGTTGAACACAGCTTTCTTTTCCTCGAAAAACATCCTGACTTTTTGGACGGGCTCCTTCTCAGCTCCCCCATACCTCTGCAACTGGTGGCTGCTTGGGCAAAGGTTTAAATTTGCATCTGCTGGGGGCACCACAATAAATCTACAATAATTTTCAGGGACTGGAGGCAGGAGAAGGAACTGAAATGAGGCGCATCTTAATTAGTGGGTCCTTCACATCCAGGAAGCAAAGGGGCCAAGAAGGCCAGCGGGTCCACACATCCAGAGGGAAGCATCGGAGTGGGAAAGCCACATCACGATGCTTCCTCCTGAGACAAAGAGCAGGGGAAGACTTTGTAACTGGACCCAAATCATGATGGGCCTGTGTGCTCAGGTGGGGGCATGGTCCTCCCTCCTCAAGCACTGCCCTCCAACTGCCCCAGGGGGCTATGAATGAGGGGTGCAAGGGAGGGTATCTCTGGGGGGAAACACGCTTCCCAAGAGACCACTCTCCCCCAGCCAAGAGGAAAAAACACCCAGATCTCTGCACCCTTGCAAAGCTGACATGATCCCCCCCCACCCTCCAGCTGCTTCCCCCCCCCCCCCAAGAGAAAAAAACCCCCAAACCCCCCCACCCTTCCAAAGCGGACATAACCCCCCCCCACCCCCCACCCGCTCCCCCCCCCCCCCCACTGCCAGCCCTAG